CACTCCCTCACTGCCACCTCCAGGGAGCATGAAAGGGGGGGAGGGCAGGGCTTCGCCTCTCTGTCTGCTCTGTCGCTGCTGCCTCAGGCCAAGGGGAAGAGCGATGGGTGAGGCCATCTGCTCCATCGCTGCCATTATGGTGGCACAGTGCCGCCACTACCTCCTGTCCCGAACGCTCTTGTAGTACTCTGATCAGTTGATTCAGACAGCCCATCAGAGTGTAAACACAGTGTTACTGACAGACAGACAGATTAAGGCTTTTATAATATTACAATGGGTAAAATATTCAGCCTTCCATTCCCACTCTGTCTTCTTGGTAGCTTGGAATGACCAATTCTGCAGTTAAGGGGGGAGCGTTTTTTGATGAGTTACATAATTTAACCATGTCGCTTGTACAAAAATGAAGCAGAATCAACTTTATACTTTCAGGATGAAACAAAACATGATCTGACCTCTCACCATGTTCCTTTTGCTAGGACATGTTATTTGCCATTCTCAGATGTTGCTCACATGCCACTTGTGTATTTTACAGAAGGGTTTTTAATCATTTACCTGAACCTGTTCTTTCAACTTCAGGATAAATTTCCCTGCTCCCTTCCACTTGCTCTGAGCCTGGAACACACACTCTTGATCAGAGAGAATCCTCTGAGATGGTTTAGGTGTTGAAGACTTTTTGTTTGTTGGCTCTTTTGTCACCTCTTCTAAGAGGACATAGTCATTCGGGTTGGGATTGTTCAGAATGCTGTAGGAATACTTGGCTTTGCAAAGAGTCTGTTTAAAGAAAAGGAAAGCAAAACATAAGGAACCCAGTGTGTTTACTGGGCAGATTCCCAGAAATGAGGGACCTTCAATGAAGATCTAGCCCAGTAACTATGAAAAAACCCACTTTTTGTATGAAACCAAACTTATGTACATGGACAGGGAACTTTTACTGACTGGAAACAAGAAGCAGGAAGATATGTTTCATACCTGTTGTATAACATCTTGAGCTGTGCTAAATCGGGGGGTTTTGATCACAGTGCGAGGTTGCTCTGGGGAAACATCGTGCACTTGAACAAAGAAACTATCATCCTCAGAGCTGATATTTGCTTCTTCTTTTTCCTCTTGGAAGAAGTTTCGCTCATTCAAATTCTGCATTAAAAAGTGAAGAGAAGGAAAAAATCAGAAATGTGCGAGATCAGAAAAGTACCAATGATTGAATTTAGAGGAGGCTCTTATCACATCCTAGGAATTCAGATTTTGCTGTTTCTATGGCTGCATTTCAGTAAACACAATTGTTCTCTATAAACATTGGCCAAGTTAACACTCGCAATGTGCATTTCTGAAACCTGTAGTGCTGTGCAGAACCAGGAATGGGCAGAGGACCAGATGGCTTGGGGTTTTTTTTTTCCTACATATGTTCTTCCAGCTAAATGTTTAATTTGTACAGTTGCCAGGGAGAAAGGAAGGTGCTGTGAGCCTTTTTGTTCCCTGGTACCTTTGCAGATACTTTGTTTCTAGTCCTGAGACTGCAAGTTAGCTTGTAAGCAGTCTTAAAGAGAGAACAGCTGGTTGGGGAAAGAGCCAGAGCCATTTCCTTTTCCCTAAAGCTCACATGAGTCAGCACCCCAACTGGAAATTTTCTCCAGGCAGTTCTTCATGTACTTCCATTGCCTAAAACAGAGATTGCTATGCTTTGGTGTTTTCTAGAACAAAATCCTCAGCTGCTCCTAGATGGCTTTTAGCTTATGTTTTTAGGGGAAAAAAGAGCTTGAGCTTTGTATGGAAAGCAACTGAACAAATATGGAATTACTAGACAATTGCCTATCAAGAATGGTGGGGGGAGGAGGCTGGGATGGGGTGCCACCACCTAACGCCCCATGCTGCCACTGCTCTGCCTCTTGCAGAGACCGGGGTGGGTGAGCTAGCCCACCCTCTGTCCGGTCCTCCGCGCGGTGCTCCCCCACGCTTGGAGCACTCTGATTGGCTGTCCGTCAAGCATGACGGGGGGAGCGGGCAGGGCCGGAGCCCTGGGCCCTCCCATCTGGGCCGGCTCCCCCTTCGTCCTGCTGCGTGGGGTCCAGGCCCAAGGGTGGGGAGAAGCTGGGGTGGCAGCGGTGGGGGGGGCGCAGCAGCCTGGCCTTTCCCCTGGCTCGGGCCCAGTCCTCCCCTGGCCCCGCGTCAGTGCCGATGCCACAGCACGCCTGCTCCTCCTCCCCGTGGGGGAGGGGTGGGGGAGAAGTGGGCCTGGGCCTGAGGGGAAGAGGAGGCCCGGTCCCCACGCCCCCTGGCTGCTGCTGCGACCACATTGGGCTGGGCCCGCAGTTCCCCCACCACGGCAAGCCAGCGTTTCCCCTGCTTGGGCCTACTGCCCCCCACTCCTATATTGGGCCTGGGCCCATTCCCCCCCTGCACTGGGCCCGGGCCCACTCCCTTCCCCCCCATCTTGGGCCTGGGTCCACTCCCCCCTGCATTACCTGCAAGGGGGGGTGAAGCCAGCCCTGCTGGCCTTGCCCCCCCTTTATGTCCGCTCTTGTCTCCACCTCCAGGAAGCACGGCGGGGGGGGTGGTGATTCCCTGTCAAGAATGAGCGGGGGAGCCCCGGGCCCCTTCCTCCTTCCCTCCTGCTGCGGTGTGGGGAAGGGAGGAGTAGGCCCGGGCCCGATGTGCGGCAGGATCAGGCCTGAGGGTGGGAAGAAGCTAGGCCGTTGCAGGCCCACTCGGGGATGGGAGGAGCAGGCTTGGGGTCAATGCGGGGGACGGGGGTGGGGAAGGAGCGGGCCCGGGGCCAAGGCGGGGGAGGAGACTGTTCAGCTGTTGCACTGATTTTCAGTTTTGTACATAACAATGGGATTAACTTCCAGTTATCAAAACGGATATCATGCTCCTTTTGTCTCTCTTCAGGTCATCATTTTTAGCTACATGTGTAACTGACAATTTTCGCAGAAGAGACTTACTTCCTCTCGGGTTTTAAAGAGAATTCTTCCAACATATCCTTCTTCAGGGAACCAACTATTTAAAATCTGTACCAGCACTTCCTCAGGACCAATGAGTCTCTGGAATGGCGGTTTCTTGCAGTCACTTTTTTCTTTAGATATAAATGATTTTTCCTCCATCAGAAAATAGTCTGCTGCACACGATGATTCGGTGCTCTTTGTGGAAGCCAAGATCTGAGACAGAACCAGAACACACAGCAATTTGAATACTAAACATAAACTCTATTCAGTAGTTATGAATGAATCTGCATAGAACACACTTTATCGACCACTTGTTCAATAACCATGACATGCACAAGCATTTCTGATGTGCTGTTTATTATTCAGTGCTCTTATTCTAGAGTAATGTATTATTCTTTTAGACTGAGTAATTCAGTTATTACAGACAAGGCAATACAGTTTAAGCTTATTTCTGTGCATTTTGGCTGGCCAGACAATCTATTCATAATCCCAGGACAGTACAGTTTTTTCCCACTGCTAGAATAACAACCCCTGATGAGTTAATGGGTTTTAGGTTTTTCTACTCATGAACTTAGCCCTCTAACTTTTATTCTGTATTTCTATGATGTTCTTACATAAACAGTTACACAGAAAAGCTTTGCCCTTGTGACAAGGGCAACCAGCTTAGCCGGTCATTTGGAAAAAAAATTTCTTCTCATATCTGTGGGCCAAACATTGAAATACTAACAGCGAATATGCTGCCTGAGCAAGTAGTCAGCACCAGAGAAGAACCCTTGCTTTTAACAGTTCAACTTTTAACATTGTTCAGTTGCTCACAGGTGACTAACTTCTGTTTGTAGTTCTCAAACTGACTCAGTCAAGCAATAGTGTACAATAATCTCAGACAAGAGATGCTATGGGGGGAACGACTGGAAGATAGGACAATAGTGTTTGTTATATCAAAGCTTGTAGTACTTGAGCTTACCATTAACTATTAACATTTACAACAAACCGAAAGAGTGATGTGACATTTTGACTGAAGGTTGCCAAAGCATCAGCCATCCCATTGTGTAGTTTGAAAATGGGCTGAGAGAGGTGAACAAAATAATTATGCAGTGAGCCAGATCTTGGCTTCTATTATACCTGCTTTGCCTCACTGGCAGCAGGAAGGCACAGCTGATTCTTCTGACATAAGTGTGACTAGGTTGTGTAGCTGTTGAACACCACTCTATTGCAAGCCTTTGAATGAAAGTGTGTTAACAGAAAAGTTTCACTGTGCTCCTGCAATTCTGTTCCAGACCAAAACAGTGCTCTGTTTCTAAAGACCAGGAAAAAGACCCTAAACTATGCAGATCAATCATTCCAGAACACAGAACCTTATCTTTGACTGTATGTGCAGAGACATTGCTGTATTTTGTTAGGATTATGAGCTCTGAGCTCTTGAAATGAAGACAAGTATAAAAATTAACATGTTATTGTTCTGCTTTGCAACACCTTCATGTTATTAAAACAATTTCCCAATAACACACTAACATGAAGATTGTGAAATAAATTCAGTCAGCAGGCATTGTTCCTGCTTACACTTTTTCTGAATCTAAACCTCTCTGCTCTGTGAACTAAATTCAAGTATAACTGTATATTTTTGTCTTAATCAGCATTTATCACATCCACATACTATGGGCTAGAATTGAAACAAGCAACTAGAAGAACAGAAAAGGCATCTCAAAATTCGGATGCATTTCAGAGCTACTGGAACCTCAAGTCTAGAAAAAACTTGGTCTGTGGACTTTCATATGAAATTGTTTCTGGCCAGGCCATAAATTCTTTTCAAATAGCTCAGTGCTTTCTCTGAAGGTAATTTGGAAAAACTTCTACAATTAATAGATGATGTTTTAATGTGCATTATATCACTAGCTTGACCTTTGCCACCAGAAGTCCCTCCCAGAAATACTCCTTCAGCAAGGGGTTTTGCCATCTCAGAACCAGAAAATACCAAGTTATATTCTAAAGGGCAAACATCTAAACCATTCATTAATCTGATTTCAAAAAATATTTTTGTTCTGGTTTACATGTGTTCATGTAGTGTACATAGAGGTGAGTATGTAATAGCTTAAAATGAAGTCTTACTCATATATTGTTTGGGGTGTGAGGGAGGGTGTGGGTGTGTCTGGGGGGTGGATAGGTATAGAGTGTGGGTGCGGGGTGAGGGAGCATGTGGGTTTATGTGTGGATATGAGGGGGGTGGGTCAGTGTAGGGGGGGTGCATGTGTATGGTGGGGTGTGCTTGTGGAACTCACCCTACAAACACACACACACACACTCTCTCTCTCTCTCTCTCTCCCTTCCTACACCCTCCCCCACCCAAGGTACCAGTGCATGCTCCCCGGTCCAGCGATAAAACCAGAAGCCATGTGGTGCTAGAGCAGTGCAGGGGCAGTAAGCAGGAAAATGGCTGGGGTGGAGTGGGGCTGGGCTGCTGCATCCTGTCAGTTCTCCCTGGGTCCTATTGCCCCTGGCTTCTGTCATCTTTGACAGGCAACCAGGAGCAGATAAATATTAATTTTCTAGATATTTTAATGACCCTGAAGGCTGTATTTTGCCCGCCCCTGCTCTAAGTGAAGGCCAAGTTGAGTTCTACCCTTGTTGAGCTTGTAGGGTAAGGTAGCACGGCAATAAGAAAATCTTATCATGCTCTTTGCAAAAGGTCTTATATCTAATCTGTACAAAACCATGAAAGATAGGAGGAAATCTTTGAAGAACTGAATTTGTTAATACCTGAAATGTTCTCATGTAGAATTTCTAGTTTAACTAAATAACCGCATGCAACTCCAAATAATTTTAGCAAACTATTTATTAAACTAACTAATGCAGATTGCAGACTGCAGCAAGAAATGTTACTGAACTGCATTTCATAGTTAAAATGTCATTCACCAGAGGCCAGGTATTGGAAAGCTTCACTGATGGTGTAGGTATAGAAGGTATTTAATTCCTTGGGAAAAAGACTTACAAAGCAACATGTTATTCTCTGAAATAGCAAGAAAAATATCGGTAACAATTTTACTGCATGCAGTGATTCTAATTATAAGCATGTTAGATTGTGATCAGCATGCAACTGGATACTGTAGATTCTGGTGAATATAAGGCAAGTTGAGCAAACTTACTTGGTGAAGAAGCTGTGCTGCTGTGGTCCCTCCACTTATATTAAAAACAGTAAAAGGTTCTGGGCCTAGAATCCCATGAATTGTAACCTTGTATGTCACTGAAGCTCTCCTCTCCTCTGTGTCAAACAGCTGTTCAAAAGACATTTTGACCAATTTTATTTAATTGTTTTAAAAATATTGGATTATACAGACAATGAAAACCCAGTCTACAGAAGAACCTGCACAGGGAGCTTTCTTATTAGTTCAAGACTCCTAATCTATGCATTAAAAGAACCTGCAAGCTGGGGCTGGAAGTTGAAAACAGAAAAAGTTGAATAGGAAATAAGGCAAATATGTTTAACAGTGGGGGTAGCTAGACAGTGGAAGAGCTTCCCCAGGGATTTGGTAGATTTTCCATTACTTGATGCGTGTTTATTGGCTGAATCCAGAATTTACTGGATGAAGTTGTATTGGTTTATGCTGCAGACTATATTCCCTGTTTAATCTGTTTGCTGCCTGTCAGATACACATTACTTGACACACTAAAGATGTTAGGCAGCAGCAAACAGATTAATAAGCATTTAAAAATAAATACAAATCAATTTAGAAATCCAGTGCTCCTGCCTGCCATATATTAACTGTATCACAGCTTGTACCCAGTTCAGAAACAAGTTCTGTCACAGTGGTGGAATCAGAAGACAGAGTAGTGGGGGCCACCCTTTTTGGTAGGCATATCACAAGTTAAGCCCTGTGTCTTCCCCAAATGCCACTTAAATCCTGGATCTGTTGCTCTGCCTGCTCCACTTCCTCATCTGCCATGTGCCTCATACATAGGTTGCGCGTGCCACTTGTGGCACATGTGCCCTAGCCTGGTCACCCCTCACTTAAATCACTTCTGGTCTCTAATGAACTGCTTCTGATACATTTGTGAGGAAACAGGCAGACACTGGACAACCTAGTCACGATAGAACGCAATCAGATTTAAGGATCAAACTAAGTTTTACCTGTAATACCACTTTTAAGGTACCACTAGTGAAACATACAGCATAAGGAGCAATTGCTAGATACGCACTAAGGTCAAGATTTTTTTTTTTGGTCAATTTAGGCACGTAAGCTGCAAATAGACACACTTTCAAAAGCATTTAGGCACTTAACTCCTATGGAAATCAGTGGGGATTAGACACATAGGACAGAATTTTCCTGCAAAAATGTGTAAGTGATGCAGGTTTTTTTTACAGTCAAAGTCCCCCAGCAGCCACACACCATAGCCTGAACTGCATGTACATAGCTAAATGTCTTCTGCAACTGCAATCCTGCCCTATACAACTAAGTTAGTCCCTACTGAGTGTGCTTGGAAGTGATTCAGTACTGTTCCCAAGACACCCAAGTTTCTGCAACTGAAGTCAAACAAAAATGACAGCCATTCACTAGTTGACAGATGGGTGTCTGTGTATCCCACCTTTTGCCCAGCAACCTAGTAGTTAGAGCACCCACCCACGACAAAGCCAGTCTGGGAAAGCCAGGTTCTAGCTTCACCTGCACTTGTGGAGATTTGACTTTCGATTGCCCACACTAAAAAATAACAGCCTAATCACTAGGACACACTTGACAGCATGCCTGTGCTGAGGCTAAGAGGGAACAGAAGGTGAATACATTATATAGCCTAGGCATGTGGCTCAGGGAGCCAGCTTCTCACATGAACCTTTGCTTCCATGATTGTACATTTTGCATTATGGTGTTGCTGCGCAAGCATATATGGAACTGGGACATAGACAACCTTCACATGCTTGAACTTCCCCCTGCTCAAGCTGATGGAGGTGGGCAAACCAAGGACTGCAGAACTATTTGTTTTCAGATCACCTTGGGCCCTCCAGGCTAGAGTCTCTTTCCACTTGCACTGAAATAACTCTACTGGGCTAGCACCTCCTCTCGTGACTGAAATACAAGCTAGACTAGTGCATATGCTGGCATGACTGTATGTACCAGTGGCTGTGTTGCATTTGTCATTAAGGAGTCATTGGGTAAAAATGCATAAACAGCCTTGGAAACAGGCTAGAACCCTCACCCCCTTCCCCTTCCAGGGCTAGGCCCTTCAAGTTAGGCTCCTGCTTGCATGCTCACTGGACTCATGACTCTTGCTCTTGGCTGCCCAGTGAACCAGCTTCAGTTGAAACAACTGTCTCTACCCACAGGTTGGAAGTTTGGGCATTATGCTAGGATATCAGAAAGGTGGGTGCAAAGACATTTGTCCTGGGCAAGTGTACTAACTGCTAGGCAATATGCGGGACGAGCCTTATGTTGGCATCTTTGACATATAGCTGCCCGCCCAAATAATACAAAGTCTGCTAAGATATGTATGCTTTATTCAGTCAGAGAAGTAGGATTCTGAGTAGCTGGACACTTGTTTTAGCACAGGCTAATATTCCCCATTGGAATAAATGGAGCAGCACATCAATACCTGAGGATTTGTCTCTTGGAGGTCACGGCGGGAGGGTGTTGAAGTGCTACCCATTGAAATGAATGACAGAACTGGATGCCTGACCCCTATGGGGAGGTAAAGTAGACTTTACTTCCAGGGGTGCACAAGCTATGTACTTTTAGTACCTATTTAAAAGTAGCAGGGAACTACAAAGGTAGATAGGGGTCATTGCATCAGGACCTTATCAGGCCTTGTACCTAGTGGCTGAAATAATAGGATTTAACCTGTAGGTGTTTCTGGAAAGCCCATCAAATGCCCATTTCCAATTTTAGTTGCCTAAACAATGGTTCTAGTTGTCCACATACCATCATAAACAATTACTCATTAGGAATACATGAACAAATACACCTGACATCTACAAAAGATAAATTACCAAGGAGGCAGGCATAGCATTTCCAGAGGAATGTTCTTCCATCCTCCGACTGTTTACAAACAAACTTGAGATTTCTAAGGCTTCATTATGCAGGTTTCGCAGCTGGACATGTCTATATCCTGAAGAATATGCAATTGGGACAGCAACAAACACTGGTCAACCTTACTGTATTAGAGCAGGATACATGATTAGTGAGCTGAAAACATGAATGTTCAAGCATTTGGTATTGGAGCTCTGTCGTAACTCTCACAGTAATCTGCCCTGCGCCTGCTGGGAAGGGCAGCCTATTGATCAAATAGTGCTGTATTACAATTCCCATGGAATGCCCATCAGGCAGTGGGGAGGCACTGAAACACCCTTTTCACCTGTCAGTCCTTGTGGTGTGTTCAAAATACATTCACACACAAAGGCACAAAATGCACTGCAGCTGTAGACAGGACTGCAGCATTTACTTTGATCCAGGGTGATGGATGAATGTCCCTGGGCATGTAAAGATTGCTTTGAACTGCTTGAGAGTTATGTTGCATCACTAATCAATTTAAATGCTTTTTAAAATATTTGCTTCTGTAGAGGAAGTCCTGTGTGACATGAAATTACTGTGGCAGCCTCAGCACCTTCCTTTTCATCCTCCTTTCAAGCACACCTATGGAACACAGAGCACAGAAAGGCCGTCCCTCTGCCTTGGTTGATCCCATTTGCTGCAACAGCCCCTTGGGACAATGGGCAGCCTGCATATGTATGTATGAACCAGCTGGCCGCAGCACTGAACTTGATCTGTGCTGAGCACCTGCAGCTTGCTCAGCATCTGGTCACTGTGTACAAAGTGGGTGCAAAGTGTGTTACCTCTTTTTAGAGCCTTGAGTGGAATGATTCTTTGCGCAGTTACAGCTGAGCTATTGTTTTCCACAACTGCAAATCGAAGAAGGACCAGATCCTCAAAGTGAACTCGGAAGAGAAACTGTTCATTCCACATAGGGTTGAGAGTATTGCGATGAATGGGTTTAGTGCGGAAATGGCAGCTATCCAAAGGCATCCCAAGTACATCAACTTCAATGCAGGGACTTCCTGTACTGTTGCTTGGACAAACATTCTGTCCAGACACAATCTGCAGCCAGGAAGTACACAAAGTAACCACTGAGTGGGGTCTTTTTTATGTTACATTTTCATATGAAAGGGATCACAGGCTAGTGTGCGACACGCTGAGCTACCTGCAACACTGCTGATGCTTTCTGAGTGCCAAAACAATGTTAGAAGCAGAAAATCTTAACCCCAATAGAGTTGCTAGGGTAACCTTCCTCTCTGAAAAATATACCATGAATCAGGCATGGTATTGTGCAAAGTAAATGAAATTTGATCCAGAAAGAATGAACGTGTAGTCTAGAAAAATAGGATCAAATTTTCCTCATTTATTCTAGGATAACGTCACCACCTTCAACAGTATTGCTCTGATGTAAATGGATGACTTGAGTTCTAGGGGTCTCCTATACTTTTGTGAAACATTCCAACAAAGGTATTATTTTCAGAACAGTTTCTGACATAGCAGCTGCTAAGTAGTATTGCCCAATTCTGTTTTTTTTTAATTATTTAGGCAGTGGGTTGGTGGGGGTGGGTTGTTCATTTACCTCCATTTTCTCCTACTGCTCGGTACAAATATGTATAAAGTCTTTTCAGTATAGGGGAAACAAAACCCTGAAAATACCTAAGCACCTGTGTAACTTTAATGGACAGTCTCACTCTAAATGCTTGCAGGTTCGGGCCCCAATTGATGACAGCATAGAGGAAACAGTGGAAATTTCTGGAAATACAGTGCTGCCATTAAAACTAACATTCCCACCCTAATTATGTTGATCATAATTATGACACATAACTGTTATGGGTACACTAAGTGTGGTGGTCAAATTGGCAGCCTCCCTTAAAAGCTGTAGTTACACACTGCCTAATTTCTATATTGGACTTTTCAACATTTCTTTAAAAGAACTTACCGTTAAAGCGTAGATTGCTGGCTCCACATTATCCAGATCACGTTCTAAAGGACAAAACTGCTGGTACATTGAACAGTTCTTATCCCACTGAACAGGAGGTTTCAAAACATATCCGCAGCCACCATTAGCCTCAAACATTGCTGCATTAAGTTGCAGAGGGAGATCTACAAAAGGAAAGCAGCCAAAATTGAGGAACAGTAAAGTCCAGTGGAAAGCTAATAAAATTACTATTTTAAACATTTTTCAATTCTGTAATTACTTGCTTAGCTGTTTTTCCCCATTTTCTAGTGTTTGCTTTATTCAGGGCCTTGCCACACCTATTCACAGTATTTAGAAAGTTCTCTGAGATTTGAACTAAATGCCAGCTGAGAGGGGGTGGGGGCAGCAGGGGCTCCCAACACTCCATGGGATTATGGGGTATTGGTTTTTAGCCGTGTTAGTCTAAGGACACAGGCAGACAAGGTTCTTTGGGTAAATCTGATATCTTTTATTAGACCAACTCAAATAGTTGAAAAAATTCTTCTTAGCAAGCTTTCAGGTATAAATACCCTTCATCAGGCTTAGGAAGCATCTGCAGTTAAAGCACACACCAGCTGTGGATGCTTCCTTAGCCTGATAAATGATATTTATACCCAAAAGCTTGCTAAGAATTTTTCCAACTACTTAAGTTGGTCCAATAAAAGGTATCAGATTTACCCAAAAAACCTTGTCTGTCCATGGGATTCTGAAATTCCACGTCCAATCTCTTCTTCCTCCTCTCTCCCCATCTCAATAAAGGGGTGTGTGTGGCTCTGACAATGGCCTTGGAGTCAGCGGGTTACAAGCCCAGCTGTGGGTCTGGTACTGCTGCAGGTTCCAACAGGGACCTGATTGTGCCTGGGACTTGGAGAGGGCCTTGAAAGCTGCACAGCTTGCAGGCTTTCCTGCCTGTTCTCCCTGCTTTCTACCTGCAGCCCTAACCAAAAGGGAAATACTTCAAAATATTTCAATATACCTTATTATACTAAGGGGTACTATTAGCCAGTGGGCTGGGCCCATGGAAGCATTTCAAAGGTGTCTAAAACCTTTTGTCATATCTGTCGATACTCCTGAAGTCCTCTTTTACATAAGGATAGATTGTCATTAGCCTTAACATGATTGCACTCAGGAATAAAAGAAGGTAAGTTCCCCCTACAAACCTTCTACTGAACATGAGTTTTACACAGATCACTGATCTGCACACTGAGCACTCTGTAGTATCTGCTCACTCCTGCAAACAAGTACACAAAGGGTGCAACTACACAGGCAAGTAATGCTATATGGGTTTACTGTGCATGAATTTACTGTACAGTAAACCAGTCCTGGGTAGGCATTTAGATGTGTGCTACTGCGCAGTAAATATGGCGTGGTTAATTTGCTACCTGCATTTGCAGCCTTTCTTCAACTACCTGTATGGGGGTTCCAAAGAGGACAGAGCTAAACTGTTCTTAGTGGTGGCAGATGACAGAACAAAGAGCAATGGTCTCAAGTTGCAACAAGAGAAGTTTAGGTTAGATATTAGGAATAATTTTCTTGCTAGAAGGGTAGTAAAACACTGGGACAGGTTACTGAGAGAGGTTGTGGAATCTCCATCGTTCCTTCAAAGTTTTTAAGACCTTGCTAGACGAAGCCTTGGTTGGGAGGATCTAGTTGGGGATGGTCCTGCTTTGAGCAGGTGGTTGGACCTCCTGAAGTCCCTGCCAACCCTAATTTTCTATGATTCTTGCACATCTGTACAGCCCTTTTTGTGCCAGGAGAAAGGCTGTTCTCTCAGCACATACTGAACGTTTGTACATGGCCAGAGACACGTAATAACTGCCCAACTGTACATATTAACCCCATGGTAAGTGCAAAATAAGCTGTGGTAACTTACCCTTCTTTCATTGAGGGCTAAGCTATCATGGCATAGCTTCCACTTACCATAGGTAGGAGGATAAATACAGGCAATTACTATGGGGCAGCTGATATGTAGTAGGGCTGTGCAAAGCTTCGGTCCCTGATTGGATTCAGCAGAAATTCGGCCCAATTCGGTGGCCAAATCTCTGAATTCGAATCGAATCAGAGGACCCTTTAATCTCTGAGACTCAAATCAGAACCCTCTGAATCAATTCAGAGAGATTTGGAAAGATGAGGCAATTCGGACATAGATGCAGCTTTAAATTATTTCTCTACATACCTCTAGGTAGCAGGCGGCTCATGAGTGCTGCAGTGCTGGGGCACATGGAGTGTCCCAAAGAAGCACGGGGGGCTCCCCAGCGCGCTCAGCAGCAGACTCAGAAGTGGACCAGAAGTACTTCTGGTCCACTTCCGGGTCCAGAGGGGAGCACACTGGGCTCCCCCCGGCCCCGCACCCTCCCTCAGCTCAGCGACTGGTGCCTCCTGGGTCTGGAGGGGAACCCAGGGTCCCCCCACGGCCGATCGCCGAGCATGTGGAAGGCCCCCTGCACTCCTGTGGGATGTTCCATGTGCCCCAGCATTGCAGCGTCCACAAGCTGTGCTGGTACCTGGAGGTATGTAGAAGAAACATTTAAAGCTGTGTCTGTCTCTGAATTGCTGATTCTCCAAACCAGCATTGAATCTTCAGATTCGGATTCAGCCTAATCGAATCATGGACAGTGATCCGAATCAACAAATCAAATCACGGTCCCTGATTGGGGTCGAATCCGAATCCAAGACAATTAGGGCCTGCTTCACACATCCCTAATGCCTAGTAAAATCCCTGCCTCTATCTTACAATTAATTATTCTGTGTCACTACTCTTATGCAACTCCTCTTATGTGCGTGTCCTTTATATATTATCATGCACATATATATTTACTCAAACCTTCAAGTCCTTCAAACCACAATATAGGTTACAAATGTGTATTTTTTCTGTTTATAACTGGCTGTATTGCAAGTGTTGTATCTCTCTCTATAAATCTATGAACACAGACAATCATAGTAAGTAAAGGAGCATGGTAAATACAAATCCATAATTGAGGGAGGAATTATAATGGTTATTAATGGTTATTAATAATGGTTTTATTTATATAATGGTTATATACAATAGTTATATGATGACTATAACAATGGTTTTGTGTGTGTGTGTGTGTGTGTATGTATATATATAGATATAGATATAAAAACCATTGTTTATACAGACACACACATACATACATACACCCCCCTGTTATTAATAACCATTAAAAACATTAATAACCATTATAAGTTATGCAAAACAAGCCAGTATACATGAAAAATTACCCATACCATCTGTTTGGTAGTTAAGTGCCACCAGTTGTATTCCATGGAGCCAGAAGATAAGAGGATGGGGATTTGACGAGTCAATGCGTGTGGCAGCAGGGTATGTTCTCAATAGCTGAAAGGCGGTATGCTGAATCAGTTTCTGAGAATACCGTCTGCACAGCCGTTTGGCAGCATTTTCATTCAATGAGGAGATATGATAACATTTAGGTGTCCTTATGATTGCACTGAGAGAAGTTGTAGGGTTGAAAGAAGGAGAACAAGGTTCTTCCCAGGTCTGCCGCACAACATCAAAAGGACCTGAAAAATAAACATTACATTGAAATTACAGCTGTAGATCCAAAGTCTCCAAGAACCAATGTATATGTATATTTTGGACAGGATAAAAATAAATGATCTCTGAAACCACATAGTTCAAATATGTATCATATTGCTTACACAGTAAAAGAAGTAATGAAAGATAACATAGGGCACCTATATATGAGCACAGAGGCTGCTCTGATGTGTTGGAATTCCAGTGTGTCAGAGCAGATTCAATTAATCAAGTCTGTTGGAGCATGGCAATTGCCATGCTACAGCAGCCTCCTATGTCTCATGTATCAGTGTCCCTGCCCTTAAAAATGGCAGCAGGGGCACCTGAACTAAAGCTTTTCAAACAAGCTTTTGTTCAAGTGCCTCCACCGCCATTTTTAAGCACAGAGATGCTGATACAGGAGACACAGTGGCGCTTTAATTAAAGCAGCTCTTAGAGCTGCTTTAACCAAAGTGCTGCCCCCTGCCCTCAACCGAGCATGTGTAAAAGTGCCCATAATAATTAAATACTAAGACTGAAGAAAGGTGTAACTTTTTAACCATTTTAAAAAGGGAGGGAGAGTTGCCAGTCGGTGCACACCAGCAAATTATGTTATTATGTTGGCATGTTCATATAGTGATACCATAGTGAGGCAAACTGCTATAAATTTTACCCTGGATGAAACAGGGTTAATGTTCCCATGGCTTTGCTACATTTGTAGTGCTATAGAAGTATGTAGATGTAGCAGTTTATACCAGTGTCATTTGACACTTATACAATTGTTATATCTGTCTCTACCCTAAATGATACTGTGACCAGGCAGATATTAGTAGTTATTTTATTTAAGATATATTTGAATATCAATCACTTACATGAATGAAACAACATATTTAATGTGATAATAGAGAATGGTTGAGCAGTTTAAAATGAGTCTCGTTTCCTAATCCACTGCTAGGAAACTTTACAATACTGTGAGTTACTTACAATACAGTTATTAATTAAAAGGAAAAAATATTAACTATTTTAAAGGCTACTTATTTATGCTACTATGCTTTTTTCAAAACCTTAATATGTTTTCAGTAAAAGATGAAAGGTCAAATATAATTGGCTGATTTATCACCTTTCCATAGGTGCCAAGAGCTAAACCTATATATGGTATTAAATAGGATAAGTTCCTCACTGCTAAATGTAGATCCTGGCAAAGGGGTGGTATCTCTCTTCCCACGTTCACTCTGCAAGTCCACTTTTAGAGAACATAAAGGTCACCAGTGTAGAAGCTGGGGAGTTTAGATGCTCCATGGTTAGGCAACATCTGAGCAGAGGTTTCATGGTCATAACTTTTGGCTTGGACAGAATTTAATTCTCTGTTCAAATCTAGTCCCATAGGCCACTTTCACCTTTGAAAATCTCCCATATAATTTAAAGTGAGGTATCAACATTCAGCCCACAGTTCATATCCAACCCTCAAAGCCCTATCATTTGGCCTGCCCTTCTGTCTGCAGGACATGGACTGGATATGGAGCAAATGGTAGGGGGCTGGATCTGGTGTACATGCTGCCTGCAGTACCTGGTGTGGAGCCAGATCTAGGGCACATGCTTGCACTTAGCCCAGGACCAGATCTGGTACTTGCGCTATACACAGCACCTGACATGGGGCTGGATCCAGCATGTGAGCCAGTACCTGGTGTGGGGCTGGATTTGGTGCACACCCTGCACACAGCACCCACATAGGGCCAGCCCCACGCACTAGATCCAGCACGGGGGGTCAGTCTGTGGGCACAATCTGGCCTACAAACAGGCACCACGCTACTCATCCGGCCAGTGGGGCCAGATGAGTTTGACACTCCTGCTTTAAAGTATAAACTTGATTCTAATGTAGGTCTTTATAGTATAAGGCATGTTACTTGAAATATGTTTTAGTTTTCTGTCATTCAAATGAGCAATTAATTAATTAATTAAATTAATTAGCAAATTAGTCCTAATTAATATTCCATTACTTGATAATCAGTACTTTATTTATACCGGAATTGTTGCCTGCTAATGTAAAATGATTCCAGAGTATGAAAGCACCATACAGAAGCAGATAGTGGTAGATCTTTAACTGTTTGGCCTGGTAAACGTGCTAGACTAGAGTCATTCCACATCACATGCCCAGTGAAAGAAGATGCTGAATTTACCTTTTCCAGATGCTTTGGCAAGTGTTGCTGACTCTCCAGGGCTCAGCCTGCCAGGGTTGTTTCCAAAAATGGACTTCCTGCTTTTTCTTTCCTTTCCTCTGCTAGAGCCAGATGGGTTTAGAGTTGACAGGCCTGTTCCCAGAAAGTAAAACAACTGAGCCAAAAAACATGACCAAGAGGGCATGACATTTTCCATAATTTTTCACACTATTTTTGAAGCACTAATACTCCTGTCCTATAGTGCATAGGGTACTAGCATATTATTCCCACTAATGTAATACACTTAACCTATAGCATAAATAAGAAATTCAGATGCAACAGAGACAAAATTTATGATATAACTGACCAAATATTTATCCTTGGATGTAAAGCAGGAAATTAGTATTTGTCTCCTATTACCAAACAGCCCCAATCAACATCAAGACAAATGCTATAATAATAGTTTCAATAAATCCAGACCTAAAGCATATTACCTACATAACTAATCTGTTATACTGGGAAATTAAGACAAAAAGGTACAGGATATCCGGGGACGCCTGACATAATGTTGCTACGTGTTCAAGTGAACCCAACAGCAAGACTTCATGATAACCCTAAAGGACAATCCCAAAGCACTGCAGGCTCATTTACTAGTTGACCCAAATTCTTTTCTATATTATGTCCTATTATTATAATTATATATAATTTCCATTTCAATGATGGAAAACACACGTGCCAACTCTATTAACTGTTTAATGCCTGATGTGTTTTGTGATGCTCTAAAACAGGGGTGTCCAACTTTTTTGAATGCGGGGCTGGATCATGAACTTTTTATCACCCAGTGGGCCAGCAAGCTACATTCAAAGACCTCACAGGAAGGGTATCACATCAGGAAGTGATGTCACATGACCTTTGACACCAATGAAGTTGCAGGAAGTGACAATGAAATGGGTCTAACCAGTTCAAAACTCTCCCTCTAGCATCCACCTCTGCCACTGTTCAGGACAGGATACTGAGCTAGATGGACCATTGGGCTGACCAAGCATGGCACTTTTTATGCTCTTCTGTTCTTTGGCTGAGCTTCCAAACTATGGCTGAGATTTGCAAAAAGGGGTAGACAGATATGTTACAAAGTTGTCATAAAAGATTTGGAGACCTTTAAGTCCGATTCATTTTAATGGAAGTTGGCCTTTTGACTCAGCTTTGAAAATCTCAGCCCAAGGTGCCAACCAAATAGGTAAAAATATATTTTGCATTTCTATGCAGTGCATCTATGTGGGGCTCTCCAAGCATTTTACAAACATTAAATGAACCTCAGGACATCCCTGCTTTTCATAAGAAATGTGGTGGTGAGGACATTCTGGGAACATCTCTCACTCTCTGTGTGTGATCTGTTTCTACTGTCCTTGGACCACCCTAGAAGGGCCCTTACTGCCTCATTTACAGTTCAGAGCAGGTAAAGTATAAGTGGGTAGGAAGGGCTTATTTTTTGGCAGCAGGTTTGAGTGGCTTGAAGCTAGTGAAGATGTACCCACAATTAGTCACTGACCAGAGTGGGAACACAGTTGTCCTCACTTATTAACATGGCTCCAAGGCCCTACACTGTCTCTGCCTACACGTTGTTCTCATGTCCTCTTGCTTTCCTAAATCTCATGAGAGTAGAGGATTCCCATCATGCCTCCTGGACTGCCGTCACCAGCTAGCTTTCCTGGTTCTAAGGTTGTGCTTCTGACTCTTTC